ATCGTCCATACACTACGAATCGAGAGCTAGTACTCCATATATCATTATTCACGGCCCCACTCTAAAAACTCGTTCCCCTTTGCTATGTCGCCTAAAATTCGGCTCCCTTGTACAAGTGCCGCTGGAATAGTCTGGCCCCTACAGCAGCGGAGGTCATAATGATATTGAATGGCCTTCGGCCAATCCCGCCACCATGCCTGGGTTGGTATGAAGCCTACTGGATGCTCGTCGGGATCTCGTGGGTGGCCTCTCGTCGGCCTTTTGGAGGCAGTTTGGATGCCTCTTGAGGGCTGTTTTGGGGCTTCTTGGGGGCCGTTTTGGGGCCTCTAGGGGTCTCTGGGGGCCTCTTGGGGGCTTCTTGGGGCTTCTTGGGGCTTCTTGGGGGCCTCTAGGTGGCCTCTTGGGGACTCCCAGGCGCCCATTGGGGCCTCCGGGGGGCCTCTTGGGGTGGGAGACTGGGATTTTCGGTTCGTGCTCCCTCTCTTGGCCCCTTTTGGGGCCGCCTTGGGGCTCTCTTGGGCCGTCTCGGGCGCCTCTTGGGCCATTTCGGGGCCCTCTTGGGCTGTTTTGGGGGCCTCTGCTAGAAACCTCCAAAAACCAAAGACCCGAGACCAATCACTGATTTTGGCCTCGTGGGGCCCTCTTGGGAGGACTCTTGGAGGCCTCTGGCGGCTTCTTGAAGGCCTCTTTGGCAGTTTGGGGGCCATCTTGAGCGTCTTGGACCCGATCGTTCGGCGACTCGGGGCCCTCGTGGACCGTCTTGGGGGACCTCTTGGATCCCCCTTGGCCCGTCTTGGGGCCCACTTGGGCCCCAACACGTCACGCGACAAGATGCGCGGGCGCCCAGGGGAACCGCACCAAGCCCCGGTAGATTTCGGGATTTGGGCTCTGGGTCCTACTTGTAAAGACTCCCCAGGAGCGAGGACTGAGGCCTAGAGAATCAGGCAAGGGACCTGAGAACTCGCCCACTCCGTGACCAGAGGCACCGTGGCGGATTCATGGTGACGGTGGTGACGAAGACGATTGCCATGAGGATTCTGATTGCAGCGATGGCGTTGATGCCTCCCGCAGGTCCTTCTCTCTTTTGCTTCACGGGAGGCAGAGCTCGGAGCACCTTCCCTGTACGTGAGCATGCGCGCTCGTGCTTGCACGTTGCCGCTGATCGCGCAAGCTGCTTTCGCAGCAAAATGGGCGCTGCCCGTGCCGCCCCTGGCGCGCATCGCGCGCCAGGGATTGGGTCCGGCGCGGATCCAAGAAATCCGCGCGGACCTCCAACAGTTTCTGTTTATGCTATTTTTTGCTCCTCCAGTCGCTGCCGTTCTTTTCGAGCCTCGCCGCCCCACTCGGGGGTGAGGCGCCCTGCGAGCCGTCCCCAGGTACGACGCCGCACCGTGCACTTTTAGCTCTCCGGCGTCGTTTTTTTTTTGCAGCGTGGGCCCCCAGAGGTCTAGAGGAGGAGGAGGAGGAGGAGGAGGAGAGGAGGAGGAGGGGGAGGAGGAGGAGGAGGAGGAGAGGGCGGAGGAGGCGGAGGGAGGGGTAGGGGGGGGGCGGGAGGGGGGGGGAGGGAGGGGGAGGGAAAGGGACCCCTTCCCCAGAGCCAGGTTTCCTTCCGAGGCGTTCTTGACGCCTCCGCGGCACGGTGAGGGTCCCCAGGAGTCCGAGACGGCCAGGTCTTGATATGTTCTCCGAACAGGGTTGCTCCCAATGTAACGTCGGGCCGCCGTAACTGCATGGTCTCAGAAGTGTTTGCACCGCTGACATGACCGCTCAAGCTTTTTTCCCGCGGAGGGGGATGTTCCCTCCGTGGGCAGCCGGCGCGATCACCCAGCTGGCGCATGGCGTGTCTGCTTGGCTGAGCCGGGCGCCAGCGGCGCCGCCCTGTCATTTGTGCCCAGACTGCAGGTGCGTGTGCCCAGCGGCGCCCCAGTGCCCCGCTTGCCCGGGGGTGCTCTCGCCGTGCCCCGAGTCGGAGGCGCTCTCGTCCCGAGGCGAGGCCCCAGCTCCGACGGTGGCGGCCGCGTGGCCCACGACGGTCACCGCCTTCGTCGTCGGGATCGGGCTCAGCGAGGTCAGCAGGGTTGCAGATGGCTGCTGCGGACGCCGCTGCCGGGCCGCAGTTGGAAGGACTAAGTCAGGTGGCCTACGTCCTGTATGCGGTGCCGGGTCCGGCCCTGTGGCACCAGCGCTGGCTGATGGCTAGGGTGGTGTCGTGTCCGAGTGATGCCATCCTCGTGTCGCCCGATCGCGTCGTGCAGCGGGAGGTGGTCGACGGCTCGTCGGCGGACATCAGCGCCGTCAGGTGGGCCGCGGGCGTGGGGCCGCGCCCGCTGGGTGTGACGCGGACCTACCGGTTTGGCGCGGCCCCGAGTCCCGCGGACGTGGCGTCCTGGCTGCCCGAGGCCGAGGCCGAAGCGCGGCGCTGCTTCCAGAGGCGCCACCCAGGAGTGCCCGTGCCCGCGCTCGTGCTCGAGCCGTTCCCGTGGGCGGCGCCCGCAGCTTTGGCCGCCCCCCTGCCCGCGGCGGGCGGGCGGGGGCTGCTGGCGCTGGTGGCGTGGCGGGGCCGCTGGTGGCAGCGGGGGCGCCGCCGCCCCTGGCCGCCGCGGCCTCGAGTGGGTGGCCGACGGCGAGGAGGGCGACTTCGGAGACAGGGCGGTGGCGCCCGACTGCCGACTGCTGCCGATCCGCCTCGACCGCACGGGGAAGCCGTTCCGCGCGCTGGCCAACATTGTCGAGAGCTGTCGCGAGGAGGCCCTGCCGGAGTTCATCCGTCCGAGGACTACCATGTGGTGCCTGGAGCACCTGGCGAACGAGGGCCGGTCTCTGGATAACCACTTCGAGCACTTCAAGCAGTTGTGCGGCCTCCAGGACACCCAGTGGGGCATGGAGGAGTACGCCAGCGTGATCAGCTACCTGAAGGCCCTGCTCCAGCACGATCAGGTGGACGCCGCCGACATCCTGTCGGTCGAGCTCTTGTTCAGGAGGCTCCAGACCATTTAGTATTGCTAGAGCGACACGCTTCGGGAGCGTTCCGCCACGGCTGCGGGCGGCCGCCTCGCGGCCGACGAGCAGGCGGCCTTCGGCGCGACGGCCCTGGCTGAGGCCAGGCTCATGGTATCGCCGCAGCTCCTGGGGAGTGCGAAGCAGGAGCTGGAGCGGGACGCCTCGCTCGCCAAGAGCTTGCTGAAGGCCCGTGAAGCCCGCGAGGCTTTGGGCAAGAAGAAGCAGGGGTGATGATCGACTGCCCCCCCCAGGCCCCCTCGGGCCTGGTGGTGGGTGGGAATCGCGTGAGGCGGGGGATGCTCGAGCGCGCCCAGCGGCGCCGCCGGGAATTTTTGATGGGAGCGTGTGCAGGGATCTCTTGCCCTTCCCCACCGCGCTGCCCCCCTCGCCAGAGCCGCCCGCGCCCGGGCTCTCGCGATGCTGCCGGCACAGGGCCGGCCGTCGACGGCGACGCCGCCTCGATGTTCTTCGGTGCGTGGAGGGTCTCAATCTGCTCCATGGCGACGGCGGGGGATCTTCTCGGCCCTCGAATCTGAGCCTGGGGCCAGAGCGCTTGCTTGCGCACGTGGAGAACTCCGTCCTTGCCTTGGCGCCCCCCCCAGGTGATCTTTCGCAGGCGGCAGCCCTTTGGGCGCTGCGCCTCGGGCTCCCCTGCGACGCTGGGGGAGGGGGGGGCTGTCGGCCATGAAGCCGCCCGCGTGTCCCTCCCTGCAGCTGGGTCGGCTCCGACTCCGCTCGGTAGGCTCTGGGGACCTGGCGGGGAAAGTAAAGTTATTCACTTTGTCGAGTCGCAGGTTATGCCAATTTGAAGGGCTCGGGGCCTGCCCAGCCCAGCGGCGATTCCCGCCTCCACCCCCCCTCCCTCTGTGGCGATTTTGTTCGCAGGCTGCTCGAGACAGGCGTTGTCGAGATGTCGCTCGGGCGCTGCACTGAGGTGGTCGATTGTTTCTTTGTGAAGAAGGGTAGTGGGGGGCAGCGGTTGGTCGTAGACTGCCGCCGGTCTAATCGGCATTTCAGGCCCCCCGCCCCTGTCAGTCTGGTCTCGGGCGACGCGCTCTCCGGGGTGTGTTGCGACGAAGCCCGGAGTCCACCCGTTTACATGGTCTAGGTTGACATCGAAGACGCGTTCTATCATATGGAGCTCCCCGAGGAGCTCCGCAAGTTTTTCGGTCTGCGGAAGGTCTGGGCCTCTTGGGCCGGGGTCGCCCACGTGCGTGGCATTCGAGTGTCGCCCGGCGCTTGGATCGCCCCCAGGATGCGCGTGCCCCCCCATGGTGTGGTCTTGGACCCTTTGGTGGTGCCAGGCGATCCATGAGCGTGCTGCCGAGGAGGGGGTGCCCCCTGCTGCGGCCAGGCTCGCCGACGGAGTTTCCCCCTCCCTCCCTCGCCTCCTCGCCCCGCGCGCAGTATGTTGATAATTGCGTAGTGTTCTCGTCTTGCGAGCAAGTGGCCCGACAGCGACTGGCCGGAGACTCCGCCGCGCTCGAGTCCCGAGTCTTGCCCCTGCACATAGAGGATGTGTCGCGTGGGCGGGCGGTGGTGCTGGGGCGGGGGATCGACCGTCGGCGGCGCGCATTCCGCCCGACCCCCGAGTGCGTCTGGAAGGCCCGGCTCGCCATCAGGGGTCTCTTGGGGCGAGGCGCGCGCTCGGGCTCGGGGGGGGGGGGGGGGGGCTAGAGCGCCTCCTTGGCCACTTGTGTTTCATCAGCTTGTGCAGGCGCGAAGCACTCAGCGTTTTGAAATACCGCTGCAGATTTTCGAGGCGGCCAAGAGGGGCCCTGTCCGAGAGGCGAGGGCCCTCTGGGCCTCTGTGCGCAGGGGGCTGGGCGTCTGGAACAGGATCTCGCCGTTCGTCTGGGTCAGCGCTTCCGCCGCCACCAGCCTGGACGCGGTCGCGGTGGATGCGTCGCCTTGGGGTCTTGGGGCCGCACGGGGGCGCCCCCCCTTCGAGCTGGTCGAGCAAGCCAGCCGTCGCTCCGAGAGGGTGGGGGGCCCGAGAGGCCGCCGGGTGCCGCGAGGCGCCGCGGGGGCGGGCGTTCGCCGCGGCCGCCGCGCAGCTGTTCGTGGACGAAAGGGGCCCCGACAAGCAGATCCTGGTGGAGCTCGTCAGGCCCCGGCGCTCCGACTCGGGCGCCGACCGTCGCGACCGCAGCTTCGATCTTCGGCGCTCTGGGAAGTTCGAGGGCGCCCCTCTGGAGCTCCTCGAGGCCCCCTGGAAAGTCTGCGGGAGTGTCGAGTGGAAGCGGCCCTGCGCGGACATGCCCGTCCTCGAGGCCGAGGCCCTATTGTATGGCGCCCGACGCCAGTTGCGTTCCGCCGACAACCTGGGCTCGAGGCTTCTTGTGATAGGTGATTCCATAACGGCTTCTGGCGGCTACGAAGGGGCGCTCGTCGGCTTGATGGCATGCTCTCCGTGGCCCGGCGTCTCCGGGCCCTGCTGCTGGCGACGGGCAGCCTCCTGCGCGCCAGGTGGGTCGCGTCCGAGCTGAACCCGGCCGACGGGCCGTCGCGAGGCCGCGGCGCCCCCAGCGACCCCTTGGCCGGCCTCCGCCGCGAGCTCGCGGACGCGGCGGCCGAGGGCAGGGATGCTGGCGCGCGGCAGGCCCGACGGGTCGAGGACTCCCGACGGGCGCGTGCCGCTGCCGCCAGTTCTAGGGTCGGGCCCCCGGTCGGCCTTGGCCCCCCCTGGCTGCTGGAACGCCGCGGTCGGAGGCTGGGGCGCCGCGCCCAGAGCGCGCGGCCTGGCTGGCCGCGCGCCGCCCGTCCGTGGGCGACATGGGGCTGCTCCGACGGGCGTCGGTTTCAGCCGAGACGCAGGCCCAGTGCTCGCTCTACCTGGGCGCCCTGAACCGCTTCTGCGACACTCAGGGTCCTCGGCCGTGCACGGAGGAGGAGTGGGACATGCTGACGTCGGGGCTGATGGAGATCATGTTCATGGAGGGCGGGCCCCTGAGCTCGGGGAAGAAGCTCCTGGCGTCGGTCCAGTGGGCCGAGCCGCGGCTGGGGTGGCTGGGCGGGGGGCGGATGCCCATCAGCCGCCAGTGCCTCCGGGGTTGGCGCCGCGCGGCGCTGGCGGGGGGCCGGCTGCCTCTGCCGTGCGACGTGGTGGCTTTGCTGGCGTGCTGGATGATCTGTCGCGGGCAGAGAGCCCGGGCCTTGGCCGTCCTCGTGATGATGGAGCTGTACCTGCGCCCAGGCGAGCCCTTCTTGCTCCGAGGGCACGACGTGGTGGGGGGATGCTTCACGGGGGTCCCCCTGCTCGACCTCTCGCCGAGAGGCAGGCCTTCGAGGAGGCGGCGGCCGCGTGGCGGCTGAAGCCCCTCGGGCTGCCAGACGCCTACCGCTTCCGGCACGCGGGGGCGAGCGTCGACTTCGCGACCGGGGCGCGGCGGCTGGGGGAGAGCGTCGACTCCTGCGCCCAGGCGAGCGTCGACTTCGCGACCGGGGGCGAGCGTCGACTCCTGCGCCCAGGCGAGCGTCGACTGCGTCTGTTTGTTTGTTTTTCTTTTTGCCCGTCGTCTTCTTCCTCCTCCTCCTCCTCCTCCTCCTCCTCCTCTTGTTTTTCTCCCCCCTCCTTCTCTCTCTCCCTCTCCGGCGCCAGGCAGGGCCGGCGGCGCGACGCGTGCAGGACGGGGGTGGCCGCCGCCGACCAGGAGAGGGCCGCGCGGACCTCCGGTCTCCTCCCTGCTTGTCCTCCGCCTTCCCGCTGCTTCCTCCCTGTGCTCTTGCGCGCTGGCGCGCGCGCAGACAGGCTAATTCGTGTGAATGCGCCCCTTCTTGGCTCCCAATCGCGGCGGCCACGAGGTGGAGTGCAAGTTCCCTTCCCCCGCTACGCCCGACGAGGCGGCGGGTGCGAGAGAGGAGAGAAAGAGAGAGAGAGAGAGAGAGAGAGAGAGAGAGAGAGAGAGAAAAAGAGAGATCGAGAGAGAGAAGGCTGGGGGAGACCCAGCGCCGCGGGCGGCGGCGGTCGTCGCGCAGCCTTCGGCGCTACGAGCGCGGCGGGCGCCTGACCGAGCACTTGCGCCGGCTGCCGCCCGATTTGCAGCGCGCGGCCGCGGCCGCCGCGCTGGAGCTCCCCGATGTCCTGCGGTGGCGGCGCCTGCCCTCGCTGGGCCGCTGAGGGCGCCGACGGTGGCCGTGTTCCCCGAACTCTCTGCTGGCTCCGGGCACCTCGCGGAGGCCGAGGCACGGCGGGGCGCCCCCGCCCTCCGATGGGACATCGTCGACGGCCCAGCCTACGGCCTACGACCTGCGGGGCCCGGAGAACACCCGCCTCTTCCGAGGCTGGATTCGCGCGGGCCTGGTCTGCGGTCTGCGCGCGGGTTTCCCTTGCGAGACCTTCCCCCGTGCTCGGGATCAGCCCAATGGCCCGCCGCGCCTCCGCTCCAGGGAGCACCTCTGGGGCCTGCCGGGGCTGCCAGCGGGGGGGGGCCAGAAGGTGAAGTGGGGCAATGGGTCCGTGAAGCTCGCGATCTCGCTGTGCAGCGCATGCTGTCAGTGCTTAGTGCCCTGGTCCATCGAGAACCCCGCCCTCAGGTGCGCCTGGCTGCTGCCGCCCATGCTGAGGCTGATGAAGCGCCGTCGTGTCACGTCTCAGGTGTTCGAGTACTGCCGTTTCGGGACCCCTTGGAGGAAGAGCGCCGAGGTCGTCGCCTACCTGATTGACCTGGCACCCCTTGCCCAGTGCAGATGTACGGGCCGAGTCTGCTTCGTGACCAAGTGCGAGCAAGGGTGTCTCCCTGAAAACAAAGCCGAGGCTTACCCTCGGAAGATGTGTAATATTTTTGCTCGCGCTTATGAGAATGAGACAGCCGGTGTCCGCGCCATCCATTTCGAGACACTCATCAACAAAGCGTCTGTTCTCGAACCCGTCTTGTACAAAGAAGAAGGAGGTGATGATTTTCAATTGGCGCTGCCAGATAAGCTTTGCTGTTTGCCGCATTTTGCACGGGTCTCGAGATTTCTGTCGAGAGCCAGTCGCTGCGAGGACCTGACCTCCTGGCCTGCAGTGGAAAAAAGGCAGCATGACATGTTCTCCGAACAGGGTTGCTCCCACACTGTAACGTCGGGCCGCCGTAACTGCATGGTCTCAGAAGTGTTTGCACCGCTGACATGATCGCTCAAGCTTCCCGCCCTCCCTCGCTTTCACTCTGTCATCGCGCGTGTCTCGAGATTTCTGTCGAGAGACGGTCGCTGCGAGGACCTGGCCTCCAGCGGTTGCCGCCTGCGGTCGCATCGTCTCGTATCCTTGTCACCTGGCTCGCAGTGGAAAAAAGGAACATTAACTGGTGCTCGTCTTTCTCTGCAGACTGCTGCCCCTTGGCGCCCCCTGCGCGCTTCCCCGGCCGGCAGCAGGCAGCGGCGCGCCGCAGCGGACTACTAGGGGAGAGGAACAATTACCTAAACATAAAAACTCGGAGGTCCGCGCGGATTTCTCGGATCGGCCCTGGGCCCCCCCGGGTAATGCCTCCGGCGCCGCCCCTGGCGCGCTCCGCACGCCAGGGAGGGGGTGCCAGTGCGGATCCAAGAAATCCGCGCGGACCTCCGAGTGTTTGTGTATATATGTAATTTGTTGTTGGTTCCTTAAATATTGCATAGTCTGAACGTAAGCTACACTTGGTGTTTGAAACAACGCGCAAAGCCTCACAGGCGTGTCAGCATCTCCGCGGGCCCCGTCTCAAGTGCAATAGCTTCGGCCCGACACGGGGATGCCCAGGGCCCCAGGTGATGCGATCCGCACTCAAGCCGATGGAAATGCGGCTGGTCTTCGTCGTGGGTTTGAGCAGCAAGTATAGCCCGATTATCGCCCCCTGGGCGGCGCGCCCCCCCTGTCTGGCGTGGAGCTGAATATTTCGATGAACTCCGGCGTTCGCTTCCATTCGAGAGACGAAGGACTTCGGCATAATCGAGGGCCATATTAGGGAGAAGGTCTGTGACAGAGTCGAGCTCCCGGGGCCGCCACTGTATCAAGGGCGCGTGGTCACTGAAGGGTCTGATGCCCCTCTTGTGTAAGCTTGCTCTCATTTTCCCATCCTCGCGAACAGCGGCCTGGTCGCATCGCCTAGCAGCTGCGCGCGACCAGCCACGACGTTGGTGAGGAGCTGGCAGTCAACCACCACTCGGGCCTGGCAGTTGGCCGCCTGCCGTACCTCTTTTCGGTGGTGAAGCTTATGCGCTGGCGTGCTGTCGATGTGGCGGTACTCTAGTGACTTCGCTCGCAAATCATGGGAGCCTGGTATACCTCCTGAATTCAGTTTCTAGCGTCGATTAGCGTCGACTAGCGTCTGGGAGTCGATGACATGAGTCGATTTGGTGTCGCCTGCGTCGAATGAGCGTCGATTTGGCGTCGAACAGCGTCGACTAGCGTCGATCTCGCGTCGATTCGCAAGAGCCGACGACATGGCTTGGGAGGCTCCCGTGAGTTGCCGCCGATAGTGCCAGGCCCAACCCGGGGACCGAGATGCCGCTGCCGCCGGGGGCCTGGGCGAGCGGGCACCTCCAGAAGGTGCCACCGCTGGCACCATTCGTTCATGAGCGCCCTCCATCCAGAGCGCGTCCGGCCCGGCCACGACAGCTAGTTGTTTGGCCCTCCGCGCCTCGCCGTGAACCCATGCGAAGGGCAATGCCCACGAGCTCTCGGTGCAGCCCTGGTCGGCGCGGACCAGTCCTTCGGCCCTCCGGGTCGATGTGCTGGCAGAGAGCGCCGCGATTCGGGTGGCTGCGTCGTTGTGCTCCGGGTCCAGAGGTAGAGGGCGCTCGCCGTACCCCGCGTGCCCGGGTAGCCCGTCTCTCATGCCCTGGCGTGTATGTCACGAAAAACTTGGTAGAATGCAAACTGTACGTTCTTCGATTGTAGCCATCGAGCCAGCGTAGCGGCGGTGCGCTTGTTGAAGCTGAGCACTGTCTTCTCTGGCCGCCTCCTGATCCAGAGCATGCGTCGCAGCTTCTGCAGCTCCTAAGGCCTCCGGAGAGCCATCTTTTGCTGAGCAGCGTGCCATGTGCATCCTTCGAACATCGCCGATGATACGTCAGCTGCGCGCCATGCTTGCAGCCGCTCCCCAACGTTACCCGGGCTCCCGAGGACTGCAGTGCCTGAGTGGGAGCATTGAGTACCGCCTTCCTTGTCGACCATGCCCCCCAGAAGCTTGGCTACGCAAGCAGTATCATGATCCTGCAGAACGGCACCGTCCTTGACGGTCAACTGAAAATCCAACTCTTTTGCAGATCCAGCGGCCAGCAGATCGTTTTTCCAACGATCGCGTCTTCCGCGGCCTGGGTGAGCTCTTGCACCATCTGCTGTGGCTGGCCCCTGGACGCCGCGAACAAAATAATTCTGTCAGCCCAGTACGTGATGCGCCCGCCCGTCAAGAAACCGCCCTAACCCTGGGCGACCTAGGCAGCCACCACTGGATCCAAGGTCGCCTCGATCAGCGTGTTCCATGATCCTGGGGTTTCGGCGCCACCCTGCTTCCGTCCTCTGGTAAACGGGAAAAAGTCCATTGGACCAGCGCCGGGCAGAACCAATAAGGCTTGCATAAAACATATCTCCTGCACGAGACTCGCGGTCATCGCGTGACTGGCGCCTTTTTTGAGAAGAGCTTTGCTGATCTCTGCGTGCCGCATCTAGTCGAAAGCGGTGCGGACATCATGGAAAGAGATTTGCTCCTGCAGGCCCGACTCCCGGGATATGTGCAGAATCTGCCTCACCCCAGAGCTTTGATATGCGTAACTTTGCGGCCCGCTTTAAGCCCATACGCGTGTGCGCACGTTTGGCGGAGCTGCTTGGCCAGGGCTGGCTGGAGGCTTCAGACAAACCACTTTCGCAAGACCAGCGACCTAGCCAATGCAGATATCGCAATTTCCTTGCCCCCTTCTCCTTTGTTAGAAAACTCCAGGATCGTCCATGTTGGGAACGCCGATCAACTCTAGTCTTACTGGTGATGTTTTCATTCGTATTATGATCATTACGATTGTCATGATTATTCGCTTTCTTCCTGTTACTAGTGCGTTGTGCAATTGCGAAGCGTGGGATGCGGTGCCTGCAATTGGTCTCAGAGCTCAGTTGGTCAAAACGTCCAGCTGATAACCGAAGGGTTCGCGATTCAAGCCTGCGTGGGACCATTTCTTCATTGAAACCAATTGCGTTGGCACAGTCCGAGGCGCCGAACTCGGCGCATAGTGGTCTGGCCCCCAATAATCTTCGAGGCGCGGCGGTGGGGGTGCCGGCTGTAGCGAGTGTCGCACTTTGTTGCATTCAGGGCCCCCTTGACGTGATGGACGAGGCGTCGGATTTGTAATCCGAATATAGATAGTTTATAGTATCAGAGTAATGGAAACTAGTTTTATTCCCTACCTAGGCTCTGCCTAGAAGGGTTCTTACTCTATATGCTTAAAGGGCCGGGCAGTGTAAAACGCCCCGGGCGGTTTCCCCTGCATCCGCCCCGCGGTTCCCCCAGTTACGTCTCCTTAGCTTAGCGTTGCTTATCTCATCTTAGCTTAGCTTATTTCATCTTAGCTTAGCTTAGCTTCATCTGAGCTCAGGTTTATCTTAGCTTAGCTGACTTTCATCTCAGCTTCGCTGAGCTTTAGCATAGCAGAGCACAGCATAGCATAGCATAGAAGAGCGTAACGTAGCTTAGTCAGCACAGCATATCATAGCATAGCCCAGCACAGCATAGCATAGCGCAGCATAGCATAGCAGAGCATAGCATAGCGCAGCAAAACACAGCATAGCATAGCTCAGCGCAGCATAGCATAGCATAGCAGCGCAGAGCATATCATGGCTTAGCAGAACATATCATAGCATAGCTTAGCATAGCACAGCGCAGCATGACATAGCATAGCTTAGCGTAGCATAGTATATCATATCATATCATAGCATATCATAGCGCAGCATAGCATATGATAGCAGAGCATAGCATAGCATAGCATACCATAGCAACTAATGCTGCTTTCCTAGGGGCTCCAACTTCTAGGAAGGGTCGCACTGGGGTAATTAATCGCTTCGCTCATTCCGCCGGCCCATATTTCCTCGCCGCTGTCGTTTGTCGCGGTGTTGTTGTCAATGCGGTGCGGTTGGGCGGCTGCCATTTTTCGGAGGCGGAGGGTGGCGGGTCAGAGTCCTCACGGATGTTGGTTGGGCTCTCGTGGTTGGCCTCTCAGGGGCCTTTGGGAGGCAGTTTCGAGGCCTCTTGGGGGCCGTGTTGGGGCCTCTTGGGGCCTCTTGGGGCCTCTTGGGGCTTCTTGGGGTGCCTCTTGTGGGCCCCTTGGGGCGTATTGGAGGCCTCGTGGGGCCTCCTCTGGGGGCCTCTTGGGGCTGAAGGCTGGACTTTTCGGTTCCTGGTCCCCTTCTTGGCCCGTCTTGGGGCCGTCTTGGGGCTCTCTTGGGCCGTTTTGGGCGCCTCTTGGGTTGTCTTGGGGCCATCTTGGGCCGTCTTGGGGCCCTCTTGGAGGCTTCATGGGCCGTCTTGGGGCGGTCTTGGAAGCTCTTGGGCCGTCTTGGAGCGCCGGTAAGCCGAAAAGGCGAGAACGTCAAAAACCCTTAGAAACTAAAGGAAATCACTAATTTCTGCCTCTGTGGCCCTCTTGGGAGGTCTCTTGGAGGCCTCTTGCGGCGTCTTGAACGCGCTTTGGGCTGTCTGGAGGCAATCTTTGGCGTCTTGGATCGCTCTCTTGGACCGTCTCGGACCATGTTGAGCTCTCTTGGAAGCCACTTGAAGCGCTCCTGGAGCGCTCTTGGGAGCCTGCTGTGCCGGGACCTGGCCGGGACCTGGCGGGGACCTGCCAGGGATTTTGCCAGGACCTCGCCTGGACTTGCGGGGGTACTTTTCGTCCGGGGACCCCCCGCCCGCCCGAACTAGATATACTGTCAACCAGTTGCTGGAGATCTGAGCACGCCCTTGGCCCGTTGGGCCGGCGAATTAGTCGCCCCCTTCATGTGCGATTACCTTTTCCGTCTAGGTAATGACGAGAAGATGTTCGGGGTGTTTTGCGGAATGTGGCCTCCTACCGTACTGGCACGACCTCCGCGCCGGGACGCTCTCCGCAACGTTCCCACCCAACCCCCTGTGCCCCCCCTGAATCTGTCGGTCACATCCTGGCTGACGAGTGCGCCCTTTGTGCAAACCAGCTCTTTCTTCTCCTCGTTTCTCCCTTCGCCTCCCCCCCTCCCCTTCCTCCTCCCCCTCCTCCCCCCTCCTCCCCCTCCTCCCCCTCCTCCTCCTCCTGCTCCTCCTCCTCCTGCTCCTCCTCCTCCTCTTCCTCCTCCCCCTCCTCCTTCTCCTCCTCCTCCTCCTCCTCCTCTTCCTCCTCCTCTTCCTCCTCCTCTTCCTCCTCCTCCACCTCCCCCACCTCGACCTCTTCCCTCTTCCCTCCCCCTCCCCCTCCCCGGCCCTCCTCACCCCTCCTCTTTGTCCCCCTCCCGAGGCAGAGATCTGATGGAGCTCACCGACAACGACGTCTGTGGTGCCGTCAGCCTCATCGCATTCTTGCTGCGCTGCCCTCAGGCGCGCGGGGGGCTCGACCTGCTTTGGGTATTGCTGGGAGGTGGGGTGGGGGTGGCGGGGAGGAGCAAGGGAGGAGGTGGAGGAGGTGGAGGAGGATGAGGAGGAGGAGGAGGAGGAGGAGATGGAGGAGGAGAAGGAGGAGGAGGAGGGGGATAGACATGGCCATGGAGCAGTGGATGCGTATAGATTTCGTCGCCCCAAACAATATGAGTTAGCGTCAACGCGTGGTTGCCCACCGAGGTCATTCAATGCGACGCAGGTGGTCTGATGAGGGCAGAAACAGACTGTGTGCTCGCGGCCAAGCTGAGAGAGGCGAGCACGCATGGGGCGAACACACGTCCCGAGGATCATCAACTCTTCTCCAAGGGACCCCCCCTTCTGGTCTCGAAAAAATCTCAGACATCTGGTTCTGAGGATCATCCGAAGAGGAGGAGGAGGAGGAGGAGGAGGAGGAGGACGAGGAGGAGGAGGAGGAGGAGGAGGAGGAGGAGGAGGAGGAGGAGGAGGGGGAGGAGGAGGGAGGAGGAGGGAGGAGGGGGAGGAGGACAAGCTAGGTGCGCTCGCGTCATATCTGACATCCTACCCCTCCCTCCCATCCCTTACCATGGCGCAGATCCCCTCTCTACTCGCACAGTCGGATGTCAAGCAGGGCGATGATCCCGAAAGGGTACGCGATGCATTGTAGAGCACGGCATGGCATGGCGTAGAAGAGCACCGCGAAGCGTAGTATCAACCTAGCATTGCATTGCATGCCGTGGCATGGCACGGGAAATGACGCCAGCGCTGCAGCGGGAGCACGAGTCGAAACGAGCGGAAGCGCGGAAATGAGGCCAGCGCTGCAGCGGGAGCACGCTTCGGAACGAGCGGAAGCACGGAAATGAGGCCAGCGATGCAGCGAGAGCACGATTCGGAACGAGCGGGGCCCGAAAATGAGGCTGGCGCCTCAGCGAGAGCAGCATTTTGGGACAAATTGCAGGCGAAAACCTAACTCCGGGGAAGGCTTCCCGGGCGCCAGAAGCAGAAACTCAGCATTTTCAAAAGAAAAATGTGTATTAGAATGGCCTTTTTTCGGCGCCGCCTCGGAACTCGATTTTCCAGCGCCGGCCGGAACCGGCTCCGGACCCGGCCCGGGCGCCGGCCCGGGCGCCGGCTCGGGCGTCCGGCCAAGGCGCCTGCCGAAATGATGCCAACGCTGCAGCGGGAGCACGATTCGGAACGAGCGGGGCCCGAAAATGATGCGGGCGCCTCAGCGAGAGCAGCATTTTGGAAAAAATGCAGTCGAAAAATCAATTCCGGGGAAGCCTGCGTGTAAAAAACAGTACGCGGGGGGGAGGCGAATATTCCCAAAACGTCATCAGGGAAAGAGGGATTGAGTAATTGTGGAGGGGGATGAGGGACGAGGAAGGAGGAGGATCATCGGCAGAGGCGGCGCGACGCGCGCCATGGCGTTCTCGGTGGGCGGCCGTAGCGCGCCGGGCGTCGCCTCGGCGTGCTCGGCGGGCGGCCGCCGAGCGCGCGGCGAGGCGCCCTTCGACATCCAGGCGGCCGCCGGCAGGCGCCCGGCCGTCCCCTCGCCGCTGCAGTCGGGGGGGCGCAGGAGCCTAGGCCTCCCAGATCCCAGACGGGGTCCCAGCAGGTGGGGCCGGAGTGTGGCGCCGCTCGATGTGGAGCCCGATGCTCTCCACGCCGATGGCGCCGATGCCTCGCCGACGTCGCCGATGCATCGCCGATGCATCGCCGATGCCTCGCCGACGTCGCCGATGCACCGCCGATGCATTGCCGATGCATCACCGATGCATCGCCGACACATCGGCGACGCGGCGCGATCCTCTGACATTATCTACGCACTCGGACCCCATTCGGGAGGCAGCTATCCGCGTCGCGCCCGCCTGCCTCCTCCCGCCCTTCGGGTGTGTATGTGTGCAACAACCCCTCTTAGCGCAAGCCTGGCTCAAACCGGTGGCTCAAGCCGCCCTGGTTCGAGTGGAGCCGCAGCGGCGCGCCGCGGGCCCAGATGCGGCCACATGGAAAGCACCGCGGCGCGGCGGCGGCGCTGGGGGCTGGCCGCCGCCCGTGCCGCCGGCGCCGCGGCCGCCGCCCGCGCCCTGGCGCCGCGGGCGTCGCCAGCGACGGTGGCCCTCCTGGCCTCGCAGTCGCCGCGTGCGTTGCGCGCGCCGCCAGCGCCGCGCGGTCTGTGGGCGCCGCCTGCGCCGCGGTCGTCTCGGGAAGCGCCGCGGCTGCTGTTGGTGCTGCCGCTGGTGCCTGGCCCGCTGGCGCCGCGGCCGCTGTGTCATCGTTACCCGGCTCGTCGCTGGTCCCGGGTTCCCCTCTTGCTCCCCCTCTTTCTTCTATGTGTTTTGCATTCGTGCGCAGCCTTTCTGGCTTAGGGCGCGACTCGCCCCTTTGAGTCGCTGAGAGAAGTTGTGCGTGTACATAAAGTATCGTCCGCCCCCTTTTCCCATACCCCTACATTCTCAGAGCCCTGCTATCCTGTGACAGTGGTAAGCGGAACCGCTGTTTGTGAGGCAGATAGCTGAGAGTAGCGGCCGTGCTGGGGGTAGCAGGTGCAGGACTTTTTGGCGCGAGAATGGAGGGTCAGACCCTCTGGCCGCCGGCATGCCAGCGGATGGAGATGAAGAGTTTGAGGAGGCTGGCAGTGTTGCGGACCGTGCGCGCTCAGTCGGCATCCAGGTGCCGGGCAGCTCTCGCTGGGAACGCGCGGCCGGCTGGAGCTGGGGCTCTGGCTGGTGGGACTCGTGGTGGTCGTGGTCAGCCGCGGACGGCGACGCCAGCGACGAGGTCGAGGAGTGGGACTCTCAGGAGTGGAAGACCTCGACCTGGAGACGTCTGGAGCGAAACCGAGATTTTGTACCTCCTCTTAACTGGCTCGGACTAGAGCACCTTGAGCTGTACGGTGGTAGCGTGCGAGCCAGGTCTCCCAGAACCGGGCACCAGCCGGAGACCCAGGCGTCGAGGCTGGTCGAGTCTCTCCCCGTCGACCTCCAGCTTAAGTTCAAGCCGGTCCGCGCGGCCCTCGAGCTGGAAACCGGAGTCGACTCGTACCTTGATCACCTGAGCGTGCTCAACGGGGAGAGGCCCGGGGATCGCGATAGGCTTTCACACAATCATGCCCTCTTTGATTACATAATCCAGCGCAACGAGAGCATCGCGGATTTCGTACTGCGCCGCGACGCCCAGCTGGCGGATGCGGCTAGCCGGGGGCTGACGCTTCCCGACAACGTGCTGGCGTGATACTTGGAGCTAACTTGGAGCCTCAGAACAAGATCAACATGCGCACCCTGGCTGGCGGAAAGAAGGATGTGGCATCTATTCGGTCCGCCCTCTTACTTCTTGGCGTTCAGGAGAAGCGAGTGCTGCATGCAAACCCTGTCCCGGTGCCGAAGTCGTTTGTGCAGCAGGATGCGGCTTCGGCATCGAGTGCCCCCCCGTCGGGGATCTACTGCGATGGCGACGTCGAGATAGAGCTGCCCGAAGACGAGGCACTGGCGTTCTTGACGGCGGTGGAGGAGCAGGAGATGGACGAGCACGAAGCCGCGGAGGTCTTTGCTGCAGTAGTTGGAGAGAAGTACGGAAAGGAGCGACGACGAACTTGGACGGAATCCCGAAAGCTGAAGTTGGCGAAGAGGACCAATCGTGAGTTCTTCGACCGACGCAAGAACTCGAGGCCAGCCCGTCCTGGATTTCGGAAGATCGGCGAGAAGGACTCCCGCCGCAAGTCGCGCCGTGCGAATTGCGGCCAACGAGGTCACTGGGCGGAGGGCTGCGCCAACCCGTTCCAGTCCACGGCAGACCGTATCGCCGAGGAGGGGGCAGCCGGCAAGGCTCCTGTGAGTGGCTTCACCTACTTCTTCGTGAACGAGGACGCGGACGGCTTCTCGGCCGCGTTCGATGTCGTGCAGGCTAGCTCCGCCGACGTGGCGCCCAAGAGCTTGGGCGCGCGCGCGCGCGCGCGCTCGTGGGCACGGCGGCCGCCCAGGCTCTGATTGGACGCGCTGAAGTTCGAGAGCTCGAGAGCGCCCTGAAGGCGCGCGGCTACCATATCGTCTACGATTGGAGCCCAGTGGTGGGGATCGCTGCCTCTGGGATCGGAGGCCGAGCCGTGCCTATCGGCAAGGCCTGGGTCCCCGTCGCGCGTGGTGGCTGCGGTGTGATAGAGTTCCTGATCGTGGGTGGGTGGGGGGGGGGTCTTGCCCTCCGCTGCTGCCCGCCAAGTTCCTCGCGTGCCTGGGATCGGTGAGCGACCTCGCTCGGGGCCAGGTGAGCGCGAAGGTAGGCGACCCCGCCGTCGTGCTCGATTTGGTCACGCGCCCATCAGGGCACCGCTCGGTGGACCTGGTGCAGCGGCCGGCCTCCAAGTTCGTGCTGGCCCGCGAGATCCAGTGCTCGCTGGGGGCGTCGGTCCAGAAGTTCGTGGGTCAGGGCCGTGTGGGGGGGGGGGGATCGGCTGGTGAGAGTCGGCCCGTCTCTTTTAGCTGCGCTGCTGCCGTCGGCCCTTCTCCCTCCCTCTCCTTCCCTTCGAGCGGGGGCCCGAGGGGGTTGCGACGTTGCGGACCCAACCCCCCCCGTCCGGAGCGCTTGGCTCAAGCGGGTGGGGAGGGGCGCCTTTCCGCCTGCTGCCGAGGAGGGCGCGGCGTTTGCGATGTCATCGAGCAGTGGGTGGCTGGGCGCCGGCAAGAAGACAGTGCAGCGCGGCAAGTCGCCGCGCCCAGGGAGGTCGACGGCGAAGATGGTCCGCGAGGTGCGCTTCGACCTGGTCTCGCTTCGGACGCGGGCTTCGGACGTGCTCGAGAACGGTCCGAAGGGCTCGGGGATGGGCGACTGGGTGGAGCTACAGTCGGAGCAGGCGCCCGACGAGGATCTGGAGGCGGTGCTCCCGCTGGAGGCGATGAGCGAGCAGGAGGAGACTTGGTTCGTGAACGGCTGGATGGACTTGAAGCTGTCGTGCCGCCGCTGGCGCAGGTTCGCGCTCGGGATCTTCTGGCGCGTGCGCGCTTGCACCCAGGTCCTTCTCACGTCGACGCTCGTGCCGAACCTGGTCGAGGGGCGCGAGGGCCCGGGGGCGCCCTCGCCCTCCCCGCGCGCGCTGGGAAGGGGGGGCCAGTTCGGCACCTGCGTCAATTGCGTGACGTGCACTGCCCAGCTCACCTTCGCGAGGTTCTCGGAGGGAGAGAAGGAGGTGCGCCGCCGGAGGAAGGCCACCATCGAGAAGAAGGAGAATGTGATCAAGGCCAAGTACAAGGACGAGTGCAAGGCCAAGATCCAGGCGTTCAACGAGGGCTCGGATCCGTGGCAGGAGGCGCCGCTGCCCCCGATGGCGGTTCCTTCACCAGTGAAGAAGGGAGGCAAGAAGACGAGGCCCGACGAGTACAAGATCCCGATGGTCAAGTGCGCCCCCTCCGATCTCGATGGAGCTCGGCGCGGCGCCGAAGACCCCGGGGGCGACGCCTGGGTCGTCCAGCGAAGGGCCGCCCGGCTCGAGGCCGATGGCGGTGCTGGAGATGCAGAGGGCGCTCTTCGACGTGGCGACGGTGCTGGGCGCGCAGCGCCGCGACAGCGAGCTGGCGTTCGCGAACCTTCGCAACGTGATCGCCGATCAGGAGGCTTGGGCGGGCGCCGCGATTGCCGAGCTCGCGGCCCGCCCGGCGACGCCCCAGGGCTCGGACATCCTTCGCGTGGCGACGATGGTGCAGGCCATCTCATCGGGAAGGGCCCCCGCCGGCTACTTGCCCGCGGTGAAGGGGGGGGGGCGTTGCCGACGCTTGAGTGACGTCTTCCCAGAGATGCAGAGTGACTGAACTGGCCCGCGACGCCGTCCCCAGTCGCAACCCTCGCGACATCTTCCTCAAGGATCTGGCCACCTACCTGAACCGGTCTCGAGGGGCCCCCCGCTTTCGCCAATCTTCCAGGGAAGTGTTCGGTTTTTGGGGTGAAAGCTCAGGCGCCCTCCTCCGACCCCTCCAGGTCTGCGAGGGCCAGGGATGGACTCCCGTCCGCCTTTCTCCATCGGAGCGCAGTGCCTTTTTTTCGTGGGCCTCGCGCTCGCTGCCAACGGTGAGGAGCCTCTGGGCTCGTCTCTTCCCTCTGGCCCAGGATGGCTCGAGATAAAAGGTCTCGGAGATTCCGTGCTTTTCTCCGGCTTGTGGGCCACCTCGGGGGCCTCGGAGATCAGCGAGGCTCTCGACTCGACTTTGAAGTCCGTGCCCCAGGTGATTTTTTGGCGCGAAAAGGGCGACGGCCCCCAAAGCCAGTCAGAGAGGTGTGTGTGTGGGGGGGGACCTTGATAGAGGAGGACAGGTTCACAGCGGCAGCCTTAGAAGACCGCTTAGTTGTCGCTCCCGCGGCCCCGTTGGCCCCCCGACAAGTGCGTGGGGCCGCGGCCCGTGCCTTGGGGGGTGAGGGGCTTAGGTCGGGCCGGGGAGCCCGCCGCAAGGTGGTGGAGGCGCGGGGGGCTCAGTGGGGGGGGGCCTTAGCTTTGGAGATGTTCAGCCTCTCCAAGGTCGCCGCCGAATCCCGCCAGCCCTCTGGGCGTAGGTG